TAGTCGTACGATGAACCCCTCCTTTTGGGTCTTCCTTTTTTTTCATGGGTAAAAATCTACTTTTAATCTTTTACTTTAATAAGTTTATAAGATTTAATTTCTCACATTATACTATGATACTTTTAACCATTTATCTTAATAAATTTGTAAGTTTTAGTTTCTCACCTTATACTATGACACTTTTAACCGTTCATCTATATAAGTTGAAGAAAATAACTCTTATTTAAGGTCAGATCATAACATTATGTTAATTCTGTTAACTGACTGTAAAGTGACTGTTAGCTCTATTAGTTGAATGTTAACATTTGTTAACATTCCGTTATTGAAAACATGAAATTTAAATTCAATTTTATTTGTTAGTTCCATTAACAGAATGCTAATGGTTAATAATCAGTTAATAGAGTTAACAGTCAACTAACAGAACTAACAAAATGTTATAACTTGATCCTAAGTAAAGGTTATTTTCTTCAACTCGTATAGATGAAGGGCTAAAAATATCATAATATAAGTTGAAAGGTTAAAACCTACAAATTTATTAAGGTAAAAAGCTAAATAGTATAAGATGAAGAGTTAAAACCTACAAACTTATTAATGTAAATGGTTAAAAGTAGGTTTCAGCCTCTCTTGTGAAGCCTCCCTTTTTCTTTTTCTGCTACTTCTCGTGACTGGATCTTGAGACATATGGTGTGGTTGCCGCTCGGACTTCTCTTAAGTAGTAACCAGAATCAAGATTCACGAGGCTGTCAAGCGATGATTTCAAGAGGTTGCGGGTTGAATCTTCGCTCTGTTTATGGCAACTGTTGGCAATGAAGAGGAGATGACTTGGGCTAGTATATTATGGGGGTACCACCCTCTATTGAGAATGTTCAGTGGTTAAGGATGCTGGTAGTGACTTTCTACAGCTTTAGTAACTCTTTTTATGCCTCTATAGCAATTGCTAACGTAATTTTTAAGTATAGATAATTTTATATATATATTTTTATCTTGATTATATAATTGGAGACAACTCTCTCTTATCTTTTATCCCACTCCACGCACATATTATATGATTTGAACTTAAAATCTTTTACTTACAATGAAATGAGATTACCCCTAAACTACTTAGAAACTACTTAGATCGTTAGCAATTTCTTATACTTAATTATCTATATTTATCATGAATGTAATTTAAGTTTGTATTTAGTATTTTAGAATATATTTCTACTTTGGCTATACATACTACAACACAAGGCAATACAAGGACCAGTGTAGTTGACAAGTAGGTTTTAATATTAGGGCATGTCTATGAAAATAGAAATCATATACCTTAAATATAAAAAATTTATCTAAAATTTATGGCATTACTCTATCTAAATTTTAGTTTCAAATGAACCTGTTATCACAAAATATTAGCAATATGTCGACCAATAAAACAAAGATGTTATAAAAATTAGCATACTAAATTTTAGTTTTATTATTTTT